GAACACATTTACGTTTGCCATCTAGGAGCACTTAACGACGAATTGGCAATTTACATTGTTTGAGTTGGGCTTTAAATAAAATTCTTATTATACCGTTTTTCCGAGGCCATTATTCACCCAAAACAGAATAACAATAAAACTTTCACCTAACTCACCCTGACTTGAAATGTATATAAGATCTATATCTATTACTTCAGTAACCTCATTCAGTTACGCATATTAGAGAAAGAAGTGCCGTGATAGGCAGATAGTATTTTAACTTGTTCAGACTATGCTACTCTTCTAAAAAAACTGCTTGGTTTCTTCAGAAAGAGAGGTTTTGAAATGCTCTACTAAGGTATCTTTCTATTAGTCATAACCTGAAGCTTTTCTTCGATGTTTCAAGGTCATGCTGATGTCAATACCTAATTCTACACCTAGCTTTACGTCTTCATTTTCAGTCAGAATTAAAATTTATTACTTGTGCATTCATGGAATAATTGTATGCACAAGAATAAATTGTATGCACAAGTAAATTTATTACTTGTGCATACAATTTATTCTTGTGCAACAATTAATACTTCTTTTGTTAAACACTTCTTCATGTTATTCTCATCCACGATGTACTATGCCTCTTTCACGTAGTGGAGTACATTCAATAAAGCAATTTTCATGATTAATTCATCTGCACATTCTTCCGAATAGGTAAGCGTTGATATCATAACAGTCATAGTACGAGGCTGATATTAATTTTTAAATGATTTACAAATAAGATACAAATGTTGTGATATTTTAGGTCGAGAAAATAATAAGGCAAAATTAATGATGCTTCCATTGGCATGCGTGCCACCTGAACATTCATTTGTTAGATGTTACAATTTATGTGGATAGGAAATGGAAATTAGTGTAAACCGTATAGAAGTACGAAGAATTATTTAAATGCAGAATCAACCGATATGACAAATTATGCTACACTGCAAAAAGATAAGATGAACGATTCTGACACGATTTAAATAGTATTTTAGATTTTTTTTCTTTTAGTAAGAAATATAAAGATGTAGATCTATTTAATACATAAAATATTTTAGTTTGAAATTAGACTCATTGGCGATATGCATTTCATTGTCTTGATCGGGTTAGGAATTGGTAGTTGTGAAAAATAACGTTACGAGACCAAGATCTGTTTTCATTTATGTCATCACAAATGATGATTATTTTATGAGTTTGTTGTCTACAGAAGGGCTTTTTAAATATTTTGAGTCGCGACCCCTTTTTATCACTAAGATGTTTTTCGCGACCCTAGGACCCAATAATATTTACGAAAATTTTGGTCGACCCAGTAAGCATTGCACAAATTCGACACACGCGAGTGAAACTGTCAATTTATTCACTTGTACTGTAATATACTATTGCAGTTTTAGGTCATTAACTTTAATTTCTAATTTTAAGACATTGAACTATATGAAAATTTTAAATAAGTAACAGATGAAATGACAGCGTCACGTGCAAAGCAAGAAAAATGAACGTTTATATTATAAAAAGAATGCTTCGAAACACTTTCGTTTTTTCTTTGTCTGCACTGTCTTATCTTTATCTATTTTCAGATACATTGTGTAAAAATATTTGGTAATTGCAAAATTATTATAATAAGTTAAAGAAATATCAGAACTGCTAAAATTTTTGGCGACCGCCTGCTGCAAGTCCCGCGACCCCCACTGGGGTTGCCACCCACAGTTTAAGAAACTCTGGTCTACAGGAAACTGTCGCGTTGAAGAGTCATTAATTTTTGACTCAAACAGTAGTAGGAATTTAATGTCAATATAGAAACCAAGGCACTTTTCAAGTCATGGACCTACAGAATTCAAATACTGTGTCTCATTTATAAGAAAGTTTCAGAACTGCATAAATTTAATCCTAAAAGCCTGTTTATTTAATTCTGGAATAGTGTCTATTTTGCCAATGTACATTACCGTCAACAGATTAGTTAACTTTCAACATCATTTTTAATTCACACGGAAGCGATATATTCTCTTAACTCTTTAAGAAATTCTGATAGACAAGAACATAAACGCACGTCAAAACAAACTAACTTTGAATTATTTAAAATAAAATTATATTTGCTAAAAATAAAACAAGAAATAATATTTGTCAAATAAGACTATCCAACTTTATTGTAAAGAGTAGAAATTTGGAGAGTGAAAACGGATAATCTTTTTCTGTAATTGTGTCCTTGAAGCCATAGATTTTTTTCAAAGAAAGCTTTATCTTGAAAATAAAAACAGGATTCTGCTTGTAAGGAAAAGCATTACAAACAAATCCTTTCTTTTAATATTTTAAGTATTCTGTTGATTTATGTAGTGAAAACATTATAGTGAGTTATCAGCTTGATTCAGTAAAATGGGGTTAGAAAATTAGTTTCCTTACAAGAAATATGAAATTTATGCCACATGTATCTTCATTGTCACTATATCATGAATTCAGATCTTCATATCTTAAATTTCAAAATTCTATCTTTGCGTAATATGGGAAAATATTCAGATTTCTATCTTCGTATGTTTTGAAGAAACAAAGATTTTTAATATTAAGCTAAGAGTTACCTACAATAAACTTAAGAATAAGTAACTTTTCCAAATCAGAAATAATTCCGTAATTGCATCACAGTGAATTACAAATAATAGTTTCCTTTAGTGAATTCCTTTAAAAAACGAAATGTTTTCTCTTTAGTCCAAAGGGGCAATTTGCCCTGAAGGACTATTATTTTCGTTTTGGCATTTTGCGTTGGCTCACTATAAACGTCGGATTCACTTTTCAAATTGTAGCCACCAAATATTATCGCCCTGTATTATATTTAAAGAAATTAAATAATGAAGAATCTGCATAAATTTATGTATGTTTCTCTCATTGTGATAAAACAGTGGTACCTAGAGCCATCCAATTTTGAGTACCGTACGTTTCCACCCAAACACGAGCATCTGGAAACCCAAATTTGAAATTTGTTTTATTTTCGATTTCATATTTTGTAAAACTTTAACGAATTTTTGATTAACAAACCAAACGATTTCAAAGCGAGCAATGGCAACACTGCACGAAAAAAAAAAAAAACATTTTTATCTTCAGCGCGCGAGACTCTGTATCGGAAATTCTAAAGATATGCTCATTTTACAATTATTTTGCAATATTGCTATTGAACTTAATTTTATGGTTTAAGTGTGAAGAACATAATATTTAATAAATAAAGTTAACACACAAAGCGTTAAAAAAAGCCCCTTTGGACGTAATTTTAAATCTGAATCCTTTCAGAATTATTTTCTTTCTTTTTTATGATTTATTTCTCTTTTAATGATATTTTTCAACAATGATGCACTTAATTGTTGTATATTATCCACCATAATAATCTGTGCTATCAAAGGTGCATTCATTAGTTATAGACTAAGGCACGTGTATGAAGTCTACATTCATTATACTTAAAAATCTTACCTCGTCTTTGAAAGCAAATAGTTAGAGATGAAAACAATTTAAGAATAGCTTTCTTCGGGAATCTTTCTTATTACGTTAACAAGTTAGCGAAATGCAGGGCAAGAATATTATTGTTCTCCTTTATTAAACCTGTTGCCAGCGATCAAGAAAAAATAAGAGAAACTGAAGAAGAATTAAATAATTGTACGTACACGCGCACTGAAAATAAAACCTAAAGAATTTTATAAGGATGATATAATATATTTGAATGCAAGCAAATAGATTTAAAATTTATTTTTCATGTGCGAGAATCACAAAAATACAATTATATAAATTAAACATACTTACGAAACCAAATTATTGCACATAAAAAGAAAATGATGGAAAACCTTTCTAGAACTGAAAAGTAATTATAGAAATTTAAAAAAAATTTCCAATCGTGTGATTGAAAAAAAGAACACGTTTAAAGATGATTTGAAAAGCTTAGGTCATAAATTTGAAAGTTTATACGAATTCAAATTTGTATTTCTAGCGATCTGTAATTCTATTATTTATATAAATAAATAATTTTAATTAGTATTGTCAGAAACTTAAGTAGAAGATTAAAGAAATGATCAGCTATCTATACATGCAGAAAATAGTGTATTAGGATCATAGTCTTAAACTACTTCTAGCTCTGAGCATTCACAGCTGAAAATAAACCCATATAAATGAGGACTAGATGGAATAAAATGCCTTAGGTCTTAATCTCTTAAATTAATGCTGTCGATCATTATTTAAAACCATTGCATGGATGAAAATATGATTTAATTTTTCTTATTCAGGTTATTTCCATAAAATGAAAAATATTTTTTTTACAATATTACGAGAGTAACACGTATTTTAAATTTTTGCACTGAATTTGTGCACTGCCTATGCATATTAAATTTAGGAGACTTATACAACATTTTAATGAATACTTCACTTACCGTGTTCATATTCTTCGATATCAAAATCTCACACTGTCTTAGCTTTTCCGCTGGCACAGAATTAACAGTGAGATTTTTTTTCTACACTTAGGCGAATCGAAAAGAGTCAAAGAAAAGAGCCAACTGAATGGTCAAAGAAGGGTACAGCGATGTAGTTTACTAAATTTTTTTGTTTGCATACAAACGTGGATAATAAAGGAAGATTAAGAATAAAAGTTATTGCATAACAATGATAAGTACTGTTTAAAAGCACAATCATTTTAAAATGTAAAATTTTGTTTCATATTTATAGTTGTTAAGTATGAGTACTTCAGAAAACGGATTAATAGCTATGGAAAATTATCATGGTTTTAACTTAAAAAGAAAGGCGTTTTTATCAAAATGTTTCATAAAAATTAAAACACACAACAATGAAAGGTTTAACTTTATATCGAAATAAAAAGTCAGTTATGTGTGTATTGCATGAATATTAAACAAGATTATCTCTTTTCGACGAAGAGATGAGAGATATTATATAGGTTAAATTACTGTGATACAAATAATGTTTCGGAGTAACCTTCGCGGTACACATTGGTACTTCGTTTTCTGGTGTTGCAGGAGACACAACTGTGCTGACAAGTATACGTGGACTATGGAGCGATCTAACTCCTATGCTTACTATACTATCCACTATTATTGGAATATTTCTTCTCTTCGTCATCATTGAGTCACCTCTGTCACCACTTCCAGTTCCTCCACTTCCATACCCTCCAGTGGGTCCCTTTCCGCCTACCAACGCATACCCATTTGGAGTGCCTCCGCCAAGACATCACTACGGCATACATTACGTTGGATCGCCAAGCCATGCCAGTTACAGAATTCCAAGGCAGATGTGGCTAACAAATGAGACTATAGGTGAAAATATCGAAAAAGCTTTCCAAAATCTCCTTGAAAAAATTGATCAAAGACAAACAGGCATATTTTCCGAAGCGAGAAATATGTCACCAACAACAGTTCTGGAAAAAGGCTTTAACATGCTCATGAAAAGCTTAAGGTATGTTATTTTTTAGTATCATTTCCAAACTTGTACTTAATAATGAAAATAATATTTATAGTAAGAAATCTGAGCTCAAATAGCACTGAACACGAAAATATACTCTGTATCAAAAATATCCGCACACCTAGAAAAAATTTCTGACAGTATCGAAACTTAGCGTTTGTTAACTTTTTAGCTTAAAATAAAACTGACAGAAAATGCACAGCAAATGAACTCATAGAGCGGTTCTAAAAGGCACGGGAATTGCTTACCTATATAAGTTATGTTTCTACGTCACAGTCTGAATTAGATCTGCGTTTTTGATATTTTCTACCTACATTTAGCAAATAAGAATGCTGCAAAGACCCATCCGATGACCATAACACCAACTGACCGAATTCGATCACTAACTCAGGGTCAACAATAGGCTTGTCATACCACAAATCGCCTGCCACGAGGGCTGAAGTAAAGACACACTCAAATGATGTTATTATTTAGGATCCATTAGGGCATCCACAACCGTTATGACAGTAATAAAGGTCTCAAGCGAAACCTCTCGAAAAGATCAATGTTAGAAAGTACTTTATCTATATGGTCTGGACGTATAATGTTGAATTACTAATAATGCGTATAATTCATCCTTTACTATTTTACACTTCTTCCTGACTATCGACAACAACACTTAACTCTGGTTTTGCTGCCGCGAAGCTTGAGGAGAGGACTGGAGGCATATTGTGTTTATAGATGAATCGAGGTTTTTACTTCGCTTGGATGACTGACCACTTTGAGAACTGTTTCTTTTTATACCATCTGGGGAATTATTTCTTTTGATACAGTCTGCGGAGCCATTGCTATTACCAGCTTACTTTCGGTAATCATTCCTAGCACTTTTACGTGAAGACATCTCGCGATTATTTTATCGCCGGCGTTGTCAGGGACCGTATTTCAAAAGATATTCTTCCGAACACGATAAATACGTTTAATGAAAACCTACATAGTGTCAGAAAACGTCCTTCGACCAGACTTCCATACGTCTTTCAAATCGAACACGTATGAGACGTGCTAGGATGCCGGTTTCGGTAAAGTGCATGAACTTGCTGAACAATTGCAGAATACATGGCAACACAAGACAACATTTAAATGCTTTTATAAATCAAGCTAGACCGAGTGTTCTCATGCTTTGTCTCCAAAGACAGCTGGTATCATACTCATATATAATAGTTTCAGACTTATTTTTGATCAATAAATGGATTCACTGTTATGTAACTTTAAGCAATTCTTTTTGGTCACCGTATCGCTCACATCAAGTTTCATCATAATATAACAGTTTTTCTAGGTGCGCAGAAGTTTTTTGACACAGAGTATGTTACAATGATTAAATTACAATGGCATTTCTATTACCAACTGATCATTTCAGTATGTTGCTTTTAGGATGTTAGAAAAGTTACAATATGAGAATATATGTAATACAGTTGCTGAAATTTGTTAATTTTATTACCTGTAGTACATTTGGAAAGTCCGAATGTATCTATCATAAGCACTTATAATTTAATAAAATGTGAGGAATCCAACTAGCTATTTATCCAAGGTATCCGCAGACTTTTCCATCACAAATGTAAGATGTAAACAAGTGGTGCAATGTCCAGGATATACAGATCACAAAGTGTAATAGATTGTATTAAATTTTATGTTTTTCAGAGAAGTCAGGACTTCTTTTTCCTTCAAAAGCACGCTTCTCAAAGAGACAATATTTCAGCGAACTGGCTGATATCTCCATTTGAAAACATGTTCTAGGAAACTCGGGTGATATGAATTCATAATTGAATTCTTCATTATGTTCATTCTCTCTTTATTGGTTAAAAGCCGAAGAGAAATTATACGATATCTTCCAGTTTTATGCTCCAAGATGCTCTAGGTCAAAACTGAGATGAAATTATTAGGATCATTAAATAAAAGAATATTGGAACGGCTATGAGCTATCCTTGGCTCTCACCAGCTGAAACATCCGGTTGTGCCTCGTTGATGCCCATTAAATTTCTATTTTCAAGAAGTTTTATGTGTTTCTTGATTTTTCATCTCTTGTTCGTTTTTGCTTGATAAACTTTCACAAATAATGTTTTGAAGAATAAAGGACTTCCAATAACATTAAACTGTTATCAATAAATGTCATTAAATAGGAGCGTTCGATATAGAGAAGCAATATCCAAACAATTAAAGTTTACCGTGTTTCTTATAAATACAAACAGCTAGTTAAATTGAAAGCAGTAAAATCAAAACTGTAACATGATTAATGATAAAAAAAAGGATTTTAATTATGTGAATATTAATAAAAAATTCCGGAAGAAACAATATCCAATATAGCTTATTTAGAAATCCTCCACTCAACAAATGACCTAAAACAGAAAAGGTAAAAACGACGTTTAAAATATTTTTTTTTTTTTTCAGAAATCCTCCCCCCTCCCTCCTTAGTCAGAATTTGTCGAAATTTCTTGAAGTAAACTAAATTAAAGTAAAATAACGTTCTATTATTATTTTACGTTTAGTAATTTTAATAATAAATATCGGATAAATAAATATATGTATGTAATATTTTCAGTTATTACAACACATCGTGGGCGAATGGTGAGGCTATCCCATTACACGTTCTGGCAGATGGTTGACAAAGCTGGGGTGATTGAAATACGGAGAAAAATGACGACTCAGGACTTTTCACTTTTAACAGCATATCTTTATTTTATTTTAGAACAGTATTCAGTAATTGAATTATTAGATACGACTGTCTTTAATACGTTATAACATTCTAACAAAGAAAGAGGAGCATAGCGGAGGAGTTAGCAGAACGAAAGCGAGAAGGCATCTGTATAGGAGAACTTATGACGCAGCATTTATATGAAAGGTTATGTAACAGAGTAGCTTCTAGAAAAATGTAGAAAAACTTATGACGCAGCATTTATATGAGAAGGTTATGTAATAGGTGCGAATGTTCTAGAAGGTACTGGTTTAGGGGAAGATCCTGAATTGCAGAAAATTAATTAAAGGTTGCTGGTTCGCAAAGAGCAAAGCCATCGTATTTTTTTTATATTTTACATCTTTCCCCACCCCCCGTCAAAAAGAGAGGCCGGGATGAGAAAAGCATTAGTACAGGAGTGAAGCAAAAGTATGAGAAAAGACATGAAAACATCCAGAACATAGCGGACAAGCTTTAACTATGGTTCATGATTTTCTCATATAAAATTTTGACTTTATAGCATATGAAATTTTGAACATTAAAACTATGAGTTATAAATAAATATACAATATTTAACTAATTTTAAAACTATAACATAATAATTATGGAATACTGATAAATAAATAAGTTATAATTACAAAAGTCCTCAATTTTGTTAAAAATGTCCATTTTGTTTTTTGAAAGTCCTTTTCATAAAAAGAGTTCGAATAGAATGAAAATATCTGGTAAAATCTCGAAATGCCAGATAGTCCACAAATATGATGCATGTTGATAGTTCACAAATATGATGCATTTTTTTTCGCTGAATATGTTTTCATAATAGTAAGCTTTGATTAGAAAATATTTAAAATTTTTCTTCTTTCAGATAAAACTTAGAAAAGAAATAGATTATACAATTTATGAATAATATATTATGTGCATTTTTTCCTCTCATCGTAGGCAATTAAAGATTGACATATTTTACACTTCAATACAAAATATTATAATTATTCAAAAAACAATTCAATATAAATAATACAATTATACACTAGAACATGAACACTTTGACTTTAAAACTATGGCATGTCCTCGCCAACAGATCAGCGTGATTACTTGCTGATGGTTGGGGGTGCTAGGTACAAATATCGAAAAACCTCCGTTGCCTAATACAAGGTAACTGGTTTTTGGCATTGTACATTACCTCAAAGTGGTTTTAGAAAAATAAAGATCATATAAAATCAAAATTATAAGACAGATAACTTGTATAATCAAGTTAAAGTCTTTTTTATAATTTTGTAAATTAGAAACAATATTTATCCTACAATAAGAAGAAAATTTTTGCTACAAAATAATTCAAATTATGTGAAAAATATAAAAGGTCAAGATCGGGAGAATAATTTGTCATAGTTGGGAAAATAACTTGTCATAGTTAGGGTTTAAGTCTAAATCAGTATTAAAAGTCATAATCAGGAAAATGTTTAAAAGAGAATTTTGAAAAAATTAATTTTAATTTTGAACAGAGATAGGAATTCTACTATTTCTGACAGTTAACTTAAACTCACTTGCTGGATTAAAAGGTCTTAATCTAGTTGAATGAACAATTTCTGATTTCTTTTTAGTTAAAGGATTAGGTTTATCTATTTCATAAGTAACTTCAGAATATTGTTTTAAAATTTTATAAGGTCCTGAGAATGGAGGAGATAATTTACGTGTATTAGGGTATTGAAATTCTTCATACATTACTAAATCACCAATTTTAAAATTACTAGGTTTAAAATGAATATCATATCTTTCTTTATTTACATTATGATAATCATCAGATCTCTTTTGAGCTATTTTTCTGGCTTCTTCTATTGACGGATACAATTCTTGATTTTGAATTAAGGAATCATAAGGTAATTTTCCATACATTAAATATGATGGAGGGAATTTTGTTACAGAATGAGGGGTATTTATATACTTTCAGTTACTTGGGGTAATAATTTTGTCCATGCTATTACCTTGATAAGAATTTAGTTTACATTTTAATCTAGTTATAATAGTTTGATTAACACGTTCAATTTTACCATTAGTTTGGGGTCTATTTGCAGTAGTTAGCAATTGTTTTACATTATGATTCCTTAAAAGTGTGCTTAAATTTTGAAGATGTAAAAGCAGCGTTCCTATCACTTAAAATCTTTTTAGGGACCTGAATTTGGAAAATTTGTTTTAAGCAATTTATATAAGTATCTGTAGTTACACTTTTAGAAGCAAAAGTCCAGATATATCTAGTTGCATGATCAATAATTATGTGAATATACTTTTTAGTAAAATTATAATAATTTTAA